TAAGACCTGAATCACTTCGGGCTTTCCTACCACATCAAGGTGAATCGCCGTGAGATAGCTGGAATAGTGCTCAAAACGGCGTAAAATCCAAGTCACTCACTCACTCATTCTAAATTAGCTTTCTTTAGACCTGCAACTAAGCAATAGTCTTCGAGATTAGGCCCAAAGACACAGGATACGCCCGACGCTTCCAGGATGGCAACATTGTGTTTCGTCTCTCTGTGATTTAAAATACAAGCCACAAAACCTCTTCGAAAATCATACAAAATCTGTCCGTTGTCCGATTCCGACAATATCATGAGCATGTGTTTATAAATCATCAAGGTGGTTAGGTGAAATGGGGTTTAACGTCGCGTCCAAGATTATTGCACTTACATGTATATAGCGACATACATGCACGTGTGTGTGTGGCTGCTTGTACCTGTCCGGACTGATGCCGATTTATTGTGCTAGCTCACTGAGATACCATGCCGCAGTTTAACATGAATACCTCAGACACAGTATACTGACTCCGAACCGACCAGTCCTTGTTCTAGTCCCTTAATGCCGAGTGCCAGACAGGGTAACAACAAGTACCATCGTTAAACGTCTTTTGGTATCACGCGGCCGGGGATCAAACCCCGGACCTTCCGCTCTCCGGGCGGACGTTCTGCCACTAGACCACGGAGGCGGTGAATCACTATCAAATAGTGATGACACCAGGTGTTCGAGTAGGACACCTGCAATGTATACCGTTTCTACACAGTGGTTTTTAAACCGAGGAATCATTTATTCTTCAGTATTTCTGGGCGGTATGTTCATTAGGACAAGGGGGCACGGGTGGCCCAGTCGTCTGAGGCGCCGCGATTCGATGTGCAGAGTTACGTCCCTTGGGCACGCCAGAAACCTATGATTGTGGGTTCGAATCCCGGTTCGCCCCGATTATGTTTCTAGGTTTGTCAGCACCTTACCGTGCTCTTTGGTTTCACCGAAGTTGTAAACGTCTGAGACCTACATCACTTGAGGTTTTCCTCCCACATTAAAATGACACATGACATAACTGGAATACTGTTAAAAGCGGCGTTAAACCCAACTCACTCACATAAGGACAAATAGGTTATGCAACAAGATTATGCTAAATCGTATATGGGAGCACAACATCCACATAATTATCAGAATTGTCAGAGACAAACACTAAAAGAACAAGAATAGAAATCACAGTGCGTCGTCATCATTCTTGATATCCAGATACTCAACTGTGTCTCGTTGCTGTTACACTTTCGGTCATAGGCCATATCCCCCCTGTTGGAAACAGTATTAACATTTCCCTACTTAGCAATAAAAGAAAATGGCGACTGTGTATTTTACCCCAAGCATCCAGCATTTGACATCCAGACACTTTTGTCACTCTCGCCCGCGGGCATTTTGAAGCAAAGAATAAACGGACTAATAAACCAGAATTGGCGAGACAATAATCCCTAAAATCCCCTGGAATCATACGCTTAGATTAGCAAGCACAAGATGGGTTTCTGTTGTCCCGCCCAAGCAGACGGAGCGTTTCATGCTTGTACATAACTTCCCCACTATCCCACACAGTCGAGGACTCAAGTTGAAGGCAACGAGGGCTATCTTCATCCTATCTGCGCGATAGTCAGATTCCCCCCACAAAAGTGCTAGGAAATCAATTTTCTCAGGTTTCTTTCTAGCCCTGTGTACGAGGTCGCGATGGTAATTTGGGGATTAGTTGAGATGAAATTAGGTTTACAATCTGTAATTCATGTTCAAACTAATTATCCTTTGTTCATATAGACGCGCATGTGTGAGCAAGACTGTCCGTGCACAGGTCGTGAACAGTGACCATCGAGTTCTTGCTCCTTGTGGCGTTGGTATTTCAGAAATAGAAATGTCACTGCAAGAGAATAAAAAGTCTAGATTATCCACCGAAACTTCCATTTGGCGGAAAGGGTTAAATAGCTCTGAAAAGTATACGAAAGTATACGAATGCACGTTCGTGAAGGCGCTCGCTATGTTTTAAAATTAACCAAATTATATAATATGAATTAAATGTGGCAGCCATTAACCTGATCAAGGTTGCTACCTCTATAAGTACCCGCTATCTTAACGTGGTGTTATAATTGCATTGGCACGGATCCTGTTAAAGGAAGTGAGTGAGTGAGTGAGTATGGTTTTATGCCGCTTTTAGCAATATTCCTGCAATATCACGGCGGGGGAAACCGGAAAGTGGGCTTCACACATTGTATCCTTGTGAGGATCTTCGGCGTGACGAGCCAACGCTTTAACCACTAGGCTACCTCACCGCCCCAATCCTGTTGAAGATTGAGTGCGTGAGTTGGGTTTAAAGCCGCTTCGAACAGTATTTTAGTTACATCATGGCGTCAGTTCAATGAGGGAGGAAAGCCCGAAGTGATGCAGGTCTCAGACGTTTACTACTTCGGTGAAACACACGAGCAAGGGTATGGTGTTGACAGACCTAGAAACATAATCGGGGCGAACCGGGATTCGAACCCACAATCATAGGTTTCTGGCGTGCCTAAGGGACACAACTCTGCACATCGAATCGCGGCGCCTTAGACCACTGGGCCACCCATTCCCCCTCAAAATGAAACAAAGCATGATGGTGCTGTATTTGATACAGGTAACATAGTTATGTTTGGACTCCAAGTTTCGGCGACTGTTTTCCGCTTAGTAACTTTTTGATAACAGTTGTATTAATTTGGTCAAATCCAATTTTCAAGTGTATACCTTCTTATGACCGACAATATATATTTAAAATAACCTTCACCTACTTGAATATCTTCCTCCCCACAAAAGAAATCACAAATTTCTCGGTTCATAAAAAAACGCGCAATAGTTTCGTGCGTTTTCTCAAAGAAGGGGGTAAGTCTGTTTATTGCGTCGATATTTGTATCTTTTTAGCCCACCCGTGTATCGTCCTCTTACGCTTTCAACACCGACCCAGCAACCACTGCACATCATCTGATATTATCAACCAAAAGCATTGTTTTCGATCTCTATTTGTGTCGCCTCCGCACACTAAATAACAGGATGTCTACAGAAAGCCTCCCTCTTTGGTGTGTTCGGTCACCCTCGTGGTGTGTTCGACCACCTCCGTAGTGTGTTCGGCCAGGTCCGTGGTGTGTTCGGCCACCTCCGTGGTGTGTTCGGCCGTCTCCGTGGTGTGTTCAGTAACAGTAACGCATGTCGCAAAGGTTCACATAACAAACAACGAACATAGTCCGATAGGCCAGGATTAATAATGGGAGAAAACCATAGATTTAAAATACCAAATAGTCGAAGGCATACATGTGATAATCATGGTACCTATGTTGTATTCGAGCGAGAAAGGTTTCGACGCTGTTAGCAATATGCCAACAGTGCAATGGCGGTGACATCAGAACTGAGGGGAATCGAACCGGGTCTTCGACGTGACGGGAAATGCTTTGACACTAAGGCTACCTCATCGCTCCCACAGCGTATTTCGGATGGAGCTAGATCAGGGACGAGAACAACTGCAGATGCAAGAAGAATTCCTTGACCCAATGGCATCTGGCCTTTGCACTGATTCTAATCCAACAAATATGGCCCCACGATTGAAAAAGATATGAATATTATCCGACTCGCGTTGAACTCACAACCGAAATCGCCCAACAGCAACATACCCAATTGAACTGACATACGAAGAACATGCGCTTCTGACGTCTTGTCAATATGACGGACACAAGTCAACGTCTGACTGACTGTAGGCAGACATCTGTCCGTCTTTACCAGGCAATTTGTGTTAAGTTTTAAATAACATAATTATGAAAATAGAATCGGACACGAAAATTAATTTTATCCGTTCCAAACTGACGTAAATGAAACCATTTTTCTCCCCGGCGCTATCACAGGAACCTCTGATCACGTGACCTGTCTGGTCTGCTTGTCATTCGTCCTTTTGATTGTATTGCGGGTGCCAGTATTGAAGCTAGACGTCCATTTTTAGAACTGGAGAAGACGCTTGATTGAAGTCAATGTTTGTCATCGTCTCCAATCATGTTGACACGTCAAGTTCTTTGATATTCATAAGTACATAAAATTATTTATAAACTTTACAATGCCCGAGCGTTGCATGAGTTTAGGAGGAGGGGGTTGGAATGGGGTGGGGGTGAGGGTGGTCACGTTGGGGTAGCCTTGTGGTTAAAACGTTCGCTCGCCACGCCGAAGACCCTGGTTCGATTCCCCACATGGGTACCATGTGTGAAGCCCATTTCTGGTGTCCCCGGCGCTGATATTGCTGAATCTTGCTTAAACTGTACCCACTCACTCACTCACTCACTCACTCACATGAATGAATGTTGCAGTTGGGAATATTTTAGCTGTTTCACTACAGACTGCCCCACCGGTGGCATCAGTCACCAACACACGCAAAGGCAAGTCAAGTGTTCAACTGTTAAAAAACGGGTACATATGGTACATATCAAAAGTGGGAATTACATTTAATTAATTTCATAACGTAATGTAACGTGTGCGTTACTAAAGTTACTCTATTCGTGGTATGTCTCCTTGTTAGACCTTCGAGGATCCTCCTTGCTGTAGTGGTAGAGCGTCTGCCTGGCGAGCAGGAGGTCAGCGGCTCGATTTACGGCCGCGCTTTACCAAAAGAAGTAATAATAAATGGTACTTTTTGTTACACTGCCTGACGCTCGGCACCAATTAAAATACACGTATTTAAGTGAAATAATTTTGCAAACAACCTTCAACCCCATTTTACCTCACCTCACCTCACCTCACCTCACCTCACCTCACCTCACCTCACCGCTTGTCTCAAGAGCTGAGTTAAATGAGGATTTGCCCCGACACGAGTATTTTCGGACCATCGTATATATATGGAATACTGTTGTTTCCGGCATAAAACAACATTCACTCTCAAGCGAGAAGTCATCCAAGGTGTATACTAGGTCGGGTAATGCCTTCTCCCTCTTCCTCCTCTGTCAATACATGGTCTACATCTTCCTCTGCAGGTTTATCCGGACAACACTTCCAGTTTCTGTCCAATGGCGACGGCCCGTCTCGATATCGGATCCTCAACTTCCGGCGGAACGACGCAGGTCACTTTGAATGGGCGACCGTCGGCTACTTCCGGGGTGGCAATCTGACAGTCGTAAGTCTCCGAGTACTTGTAGCTTGTAATTGATGGTTTGATGAGAGTGTTGCGAGAATAGTTTAGTACATCCGAGTCTTGGTATTTAGTGAACAGAAGGGAAATCTGTCGCTTTCTGCATCACATACAGGGCAATACACATCGTGACACTATTCGGCGATATATGCAAGAGTCACGTTCGAAGTTTAATTGGTTCATCAACTGTTCAGTGCATAGACGTCTGTGAGTGAGTGAGTTTTGTTTAACGCCGTTGGAACAGTATTTCAGTTATATCACGGCGCGTCAGGTTAATATGCGAAGAAAATCAGAAGTAATGTAGGCCTTAGATGTTTACCACTGAAGTGAAACCCGGGTATTGTACCGACAGACATGGAAACATAATCAGGGAGAATCTTAGAATCGAACTGGTCATTATTGCTTTTTGGCATCTCAAGGGCCGCAACTCTTCACGGCGAATCCTAACACCGTAGGCTACCCGTGCCTCCATAGATTCTGTGAAGTTGGCAGGGCGCCAGTGTTCGCGCGGCAGTCAACAGGTACCGAACGAAACACAGCCTTTCTTTCCTCGTGGACATCATCTCGCTCGTAGCGTGTGATTTAATTAAATACATTAACTATGAAACTATATGTCAGCGGCCCATAGACATCTGTACACTAAGGCTTACATCGCCACTGTTGTTGAATTATAAAACCTCACGATATGTGTAACGCCGCAATCAGCAGTATTCCAGCCACATGGCGGCGGTCTAGAAATAATCGAGTCTGGACCAGACAATCCAGTGATTGAAGTCCTGAGCATCGATCCATGCAATTGGGATACGATGACATGCATCAACCAAGTCAGATGCCTGATCATCCGATCCCGTTAGTCGCCTCTTACGACAAGCATAGTCGCCATCAAGGCAAGCATGGGTTGCTGGAGACCTATTCTAACCCGGATCTTCACGGGTCCGTCACGATGTGAAAATATTTACAAACATATCAGTTCTCCCGAAATATGATACTAACCCTGTTTCAAGTTGTCAGTGTCAATGAGCTAAAACAACTAAAGTCCTGCATGTATTTTTACTGTTTTTCAATTATTTGCCCTTGATGCCAGTATCACTGATCATTATTCATTTCCACACAAATTCAATCAGGGCACATCCGCACAGCTATCACATCTTCTTATTCATCACTTACATCTTTACCTTCTGCGTTATTTTCCCAATGAGTTTTTTTAACACTCAGTTGTCCAATCCACGCCCCATGGCGCTGTCGATACCACTTTTTCCAATATTTCTCCGTTGCCCGTTACTAATGCTTTAAAAGTCGCTTCGATTCGCCCACAGCAGTCAATTAGTATTCTGCCCCCTAGACAATCTTGGTCTGCTTGTGTAATCTGGTTACGTTGAAATAGATATTGACAGAGTACTAGGAGACCATCAGCCTGCAGTGTCAATACTTCCCGTGCCTTTGTCTCAAACGGAACGAAAGGAGCAACTTAGTCAGAGGTTTCAAACTACAAAACAATGTATAAATCAAATCAAACTTTACTAATCACAACACAGTGCCCTAAGCAATAGCTATCCGATAGCTCGCTGTCTCAAAGGAACATTACAAAATAATTTATAACACTCACTAAATGTAAATTGCTTGTTTAGAATAGATCATGTTTGGTCAGAGGTGGATTTACAGGCCATATCGCAGCAGGGGGAGGTAACTCTTCACGCCTGTGAGGCGATACAAGTCGATAAAAGGGATGCTGCAACTGTTTACCGTCTGTATCGCAACCCGGTTGATTTAAAGCAATTTAGCTATGTCATCACATACGCAATTCAGACATGACTGCAGTTAATGTCTGTTAAATCGTTAAATGATAGAGATATAGAGATGTTATTGACGAATGTAAGCGTAATCGGGCGTTATCCTGGCTAATCGACTGGCATAAAATCATTAAGAGACATAAATCACTGGATAGCTTACAAAGTGCCAGCGCAAACACATTCCCATCTCGAAATACGTATGCGTGCAATCAATTGAAACAAGACATCGGTTTAATCACTTCCAGACTGTATTCCCTTATAGGTTGGCCCAGTAGTCCAATGAGTCCCTTAATGTATGCAGAGGTCCGCTAGTCGGGGTTCGAATCCAAATTCTAGCGAACATAATCCTAGGTTCATCAGCAGCATGCCCTTACACGTAGATTCCGTCGGTAAGGACTGTCTAGTACAGGTATCCGCGTGTGCTTAGCTCAGACAATGAGTGAGGATATGTTTACGCCGCTGATACGCTGTGGAATAGCTGAAAAAAATCAAAGCAGCGTTAAACCCAGCTCATTCGGAAGAACAAAACCACAAACATCCACATATGTTGTCAACTATTTTCCAGTGCATCACGTGGTACACATGCCTTCAGAAATAGTAGAATGACGTGGTACACATGACTTCAGAGACAGTAGAATGACGTAGTACACATGACTTCAGAGACAGTAGAATGACGTGGTTCACATGACCTTAGAGATATTAGAATGACGTAGTACACATGACGTCAGAGACAGCAGACTGACGTGGTTCACATGACCTAAGAGATATCAGAGTGACGTAGTACACATGGCCTTAGAGATATAAGAATGACGTGGTACACATGACTTCAGAGACAGTAGAATGACGTGGTTCACATGACTTCAGAGATATTAGAATGACGTGGCACACATGACTTCAGAGATATTAGAATAACGTGGCACACATGACTTCAGAGATACAGAGATGACTCTTAACACATGAAATATAGGACAGCCCATAGCTGTGGACGTTGCAAACTGATCGAGGATGACAACAAGGCAGCAATATTTCTTCGAAATAGTCATGATCAATTAGGATCGGAGCAATTAACATTCTGTGTGAATGCTACAAAAGACTATGCTGCCTTAGGTCTTACCAAAAAGTAATTGTTCACAAGAAGACTTGAAAACTAAAATGTTGTGGATAAAAACCCACATTTCAATGAAATAATTGTTTGTCTTGAAGCAGTTGGCGAACAAATCCTCTGTCTCTAACAAAATACACGTAATTAGAATTTGTAATGTCAACCTCTTTTAACCCATAATGCTTAATCAACGGTGCTCAATACCACTTTATTAGAATATGTACTAGTAGCTTATACAAAATCTAATTCAGCCACTTTTAGTACGCTGTGCTGACCCAGTGCTGTTTTATACCAACCCAGTAAAAGACATCGCTTTTCTCGTGATTCTGGAAATGGTTTTGTCGCTCATACGTTTTATACATTTTAACCACATTTACCCTACTTCTCCTTCCCAATGTCCTTTGACCCGTAAAGGTCCGGGGTAGAACAGGTCTTTTCAGGAAACCATACTTGCCGTAAAAAGGCGACTATGCTTGTCGTAAGAGATGACTAACAGGATCGGGTGGTCAGGCTCGCTGACTTGGTTGATGCATGTCATCGATCCCACATTGCGTGGGTCGATACTCATGATATCAATCATTGGATTGTCTGGTCCAGACTCGAGTATTTACAGACCGCCGTCATATAGCTGGTATATTGCAGAGTGCGGCGTTAAACAAACCAGCCAACCAATGTTCTTTAGTACCGCATTAGTCAAACCCATAGCCACAACCCCTTTCCCTCCGATATATCTACCCAGTGCTGTTGGATACCACATTGGTAAAATTCAAACCTTATGCATTTCAGCTTAATGAGGTGCGGTAAAATTGAGTTTAACGTCGTGTTTTTTAAGATTATTGCACCATAGAGCGACTTGTATGCACGAATGTGTGTGGCTGTGGTACTAGTCTGGACTATATCTGGTTGTAAACTGCTCGCCCACTGAGTTACCATGCCGCAGTTTTACTTGAATACATTATACTGACCAGTCCTTGTTTTAGCCCCTTAAATCCAAACGCAAGGCAGGGTATCAACAAGTTCCGCCTATTAACGTATTTTGGTATGACGAGGCTAGGGGATCGAACCATCGACCTTCCCGTCTCCGGGCAGATTCTTTACCCACCGGACCACGGAGGCGGTCCTTCTGCTTTGTAAGAAACATGTCCAATACATTCCACCCAAGTTTCCCCCGCTATTCTAATGGACAGAGTATTATCCGGGAGTGGGTGGGCACACGCTGCACGGTCCACTGTACCTTGTATAGTATATCACTGTCGTGTATACCACCTCCAAACTCCACTTGGACTGACAAGGAATGCCACTCCATATCTAGTTGAACCTGCTGACTCGTGTCGGTGTAGGAGATCAAGATTGACACTTGTATCGAATACTCATCTTACTACAAGACCAGGGAGGAGCTCATCACCTTCCTGTGCCTTTCATCTTCTCCGTCAGTTCCATGTGATGTGACGGCCCTTCGCTTTCAGCAGGCGAGGACTGAAACAATCTGACAGAATCTTCCCCACCTTCAATTGTTCCTGTAATTGTGTGTCTTGTGCGGATGAAAAACACGTTGAGTGTTTAATCTTGTACTGCAACGAAGAAAATCGGTCCTTTGAGTTAGAGAATGAATGGGGCTTTGTAGGTCTTTCAGCAGTATTGGTACAATAAGAATGAATGTCACAATGTGTATCCATGTATGCATAACGAGGATATGAGTATTGGGCTCCCTAAGGCACCATCAACCTGGAAATCCTGACGTGTTTTGGGGGCTTATTTAATTTCTTCTTTCACCACATTTATATCTGAAGAAAAATACATAGGACAGAAGAACATGGCTGAAGTGCAGGTCTAAATGAGTGAGTGAGTGAGTTGGGTTTAACGCCGCTTTTAACGGTATTCCAGTTATATCGTGACGTGTCAGCTTAATGTGGGAGGAAAGCCCGTGATGCAGGTCTCAGACGTTTACCACTTCGGTGAAACCCACGAGCAAGGGTATGGTGCTGACAAACCTAGAAACATAATCGGGGCGAACCGGGATTCGAACCCACAATCATAGGTTTCTGGCGTGCCCAAGGGACGCAACCCTGCACAGCGAATCGCGGCGCCTTAGACGACTGGGCCACCCGTGCCCCCGGCAGGTCTAAAGATAATGTCATTCTCATTACAACACTGCTAGGTACGGAGCGGACAGGCCATCTCTGTAAGCTAGTTAACCAAAACAAAACTCACTGAATGTAGTGTGCAGTGTATTCAATCATCATGGCATGTTTGATGTAGTCACAACAATTTCAGCAGGTTGGCCGGGTACAATAATTTATTGACTGGTTAAGTCTTGTAAAATGGACTCTACTCCTGATTATAGAGATTGTTTTGTCGATTGTGTTTACAAACATGTCACGTGTTCACTGATATTTCCCGTGGATAAACGGAGATACGAACAAAGCCATTACTTTGGTAATTTAGACCTTTACTAATCATACATAGCGATTATAACACTAAGAATGTAGTCTCTCCAATATTTAAAAAAGAGATTTTGGGAGAAGATGTACATTTGCTAAGACAGAAGACGAAACTCGAAATTACTCAGAATCATTCTCATGTCTGGTTTCTGATGGAGAACAATAATCAAATCGGTTTATTCCGCTTACCCCGTGATGCTGTGGCCGGCATTGAATTCAGGTTAACGTAATTAATGCGAAATAGAAGTTAGATACACCTTGATTTGAAGAAAACAGTTAACATATTTATATACGGTTCATTATTGCCGTCGGGTTTGAATAAATGACACTTTTTAAGGATAGCAACTTCTTTTATTCTTTGTCACGACGTTTCAGAGCTACTTCTTGTCTCTTCATCAGGTGAATGAAGCAAGACGTAGCTCTGAAATCTCGTGACAAAGAAGTTGCTCTCCATAAAAGTGTCATTTATTCATGTTCTCTCTACTTCTAAATGTCTATCACACACTTCTGCCGTCGGTTTTTTTGCTGGCCGAGGTTGGTATGGGAGTAAGTGAGTATGTTTTACGCCGCTTTTAGCAATATTCCAGCAATATCACGTCAGGGGACACTATACATGGGTTTCGCAGATTGTACCTATGTCGGGAATCGAATCCGGGTCTTCGGCGTGACGAGCGAACGCTTTAACCACTGGGCTACCCGATCGCCCGAGGTTGGTATGGGATTGAGTGGAACAAGTTCGGGGACATATGTCAGTAGTTATCCTTTAAATTTCAGAGTTATCCTGTCCGTGGGGGATTCCTGATCATATGATATCATACATCAATAACCATTTCCTTCTTCCCTTTCAGGAGTCCCCCCTCCAGTTTCGGGTAGAAGAACCCAGCCACCCGGAGTCAGTCTGTAACAAGCCGTGCGCCTTCTACGAGGCAAGACTCCCATTCGAAGGAGACCCGTGCTGCTGGATGTGCAGCCCCTGTAACAAGTACCAGTACCTTCCAACCAAAGACGCATGTGAAGAATGTCCATGGGGCACGCTACCGTCCTGGTTGAAGGACGAATGTATTGAGATCCCTCCCCGCTATCTGCAGTACCATGACGGAATCGCCATCGCCGCCATGACATTTGCCTCTCTTGGAGTGATAGGGACATCCATGGTTGTTCTGGTCTTCTTCATCTACAGTGACACTCCTGTGGTCAAGGCGTCCGGACGCGAGCTAAGCTTCGTCCTCCTTGGTGGAATCCTCTTCTGCTATGCAATCACCTTCGTGTTGGTGTCAAAGCCCATGACGTATACATGTGGAACTCAGAAGATAGGAATGGGGCTTTGTTTTTCCGTATGCTACTCTGCCATTTTGACAAAGACAAACCGAATATCTAGGATATTTCGAGCAGGGAAAAGGACTGTGAAAAGACCCAAATTCATCAGCCCTGAATCCCAGCTGGTCATATGTGGTAGTTTAGTGTGTGTCCAGATACTCATCGGACTCGTATGGCTTCTGATAAGCCCACCTAAATCTATACCCTATTACTCAAACAGGGACGACCATCAGCTAGTGTGTGAAGGAGCTGTCGGCTATTCCTATATGATAGGCTTTTCATATCCTATTCTTCTAGTGACTGTATGTACATTTTACGCGTTGTTCACTCGCAAAATACCAGAAGCCTTCAACGAATCCAAATACATAGGGTTCACCATGTACACCACTTGCATCATATGGCTTGCATTTGTAGTCATCTACTTCACGACGGCGAGTAATATTCAGATGCGACTTGCCACCATGTGCTTCTCAATCAGCCTAAGCGCAACAGTGGCGCTTATATGTATGTTCACCCCAAAACTGTACATAATCCTACTTCACCCCGAGAGGAATGTTCGTCAGTCCATGATGGCAAAGGCCGCCTTCACCAAGCCTAACAATGCTTCCGCCTTGAGAGTTGATTCTGGTACGCAATCTGACGGTATGTTTGAGGATGATGAATTCATGGACTAGTCCATGAGTAAGTCTTTTGTTACTAGCATGTACACATCCTCAAATGAGCACTCTGCCTTTATCCACGTTTACATTTAACACTGCATGAAACGATTTTCGGAAAGATTTCCAAATTGTAAAATATTTTTTTCGTGCTGTGATATTTATTGCGTTTTTCAAACTATTCCAAAATGTAAAATCATTCTTTTCATGTTGTGTTAAAAATATTGATTGACAAAAGGTTTCATTTAACACAGCATGAAACAATGTTCGGAAGGTTTCCAAATTGTGAAAAAAAATATTACTTGCTGTGATATTGTGTTTTTTCAAAGTTTTCCTAAATGTAAAATCATTCTTTTCATGTTGTGTTATAGATATTGATTGTCAAAATGTTTCAAAGATATGAAATATTCTGATTAATACTGTGTCGAGTATAAATAATGATCCTATTTAAATGCTTTAAAACCCTTGGGCCGAGGAATGAATGAGCTGTATTATTACTGTCACGAATTTAAATTGTCTTATAAGGCATGAACTACTTAATCTGCGGAGAACGGTTGTTTTGGAGGCATTGATATTCATATTCAGGATGTATAATATCGGGGTTTACAATTTATTCTTTGGTCGGACCTAATGGGTGGAGGATGTTTTGTCCTGAACAAGAATTTGAGTTTTTCTGTTTAAACAAACGAAAATGAAGTAGGTCGTTAGATTATATTTTCGGAAAAGTAATTTCTTTTACATCTCGGAAAGGACAGAACGTGTTTCTTTTATACATTCAAAACATTACATGGGCAATTTTAACCCACGAATTATTTTCATTCCAAGGAAATGGCAAAATTATTTCTTCCACTTTTTCCTTGGCCAAAGAAAAGTAGTCAATCCTTAGCAGAGTATATTTGATCACTCAAAGGATGCTGGTGCCGTTGTGTTAAGAATGTCAAAACTACTCTCAAAGGCTTGGTCGGCTGGAAACGTCTGAGAGACAACTGGACGACTACAACTTAACAGACAGATTAACTATAGTTGTATGAAAGACTTAGGTGTTCTTTAACTTCGTTTAAGTAGTGTGTGTTACTGACAGTACTGACAGTCTTGAAATAATACTGGATCTGTTTTCTGCACTATTACCTTAATACCTTCTACACGTCAGTTCTTAAACATACATTTATTGTTACCTGTTGGATCACACGCCACGAAGTGTGTGTGTGTGTGTGTGTGTGTGTGTGTGGGGGGGGGGGGGGGGGGGGGGGTGCGTGCGTGCGCGCGTGCGTTTGGTAGTGTGTGTGTGTTGGTCGAGTTCGAGAACCATCATAGAAAATGTCTGTGTACAACTCTTGTTTGATCAGTTCTGCACGTTTCTCGGAAACCACTATATATTTTACCGAATACAGAATTATTGAATAGCCTTCGATAGAGTTGAAGCACCTGTGTTGCGTTTGCAGGCAAGATACCTTACATTATTTCCCCATAAAACTTTGCAAGTGTGTTGAGCTAGGTTTTGCAAAGATTGCGGGGAATATTAGTGACTCTGTCTTCTTGTTTGAGCTCAAGCGTTTTAGGAAATAACTCAAAATAATTCGACATTGTAATCTACTTTTCTTTAAGAATGGATGGCACCAAACGCTTCGTGACGTTTCTGAAGAGACACGACATTCGCAGTGTCCTTTTGTAATATCAGTTTTACTCGATCCCTCACTCACCCAATACTCCAGTTGCAGAAGCAAATGGTGACACGTCTTACCTTTATCCATCCATTCGAGTAAGTTTCAAATAACAAAATCGATGACGCTGTTAAGGTCAACACAGCTTTTATGTCTGTCACCATTGACCCTTACAACTGTTTACATATTCTCCGGACGAAAACAGAAGGAAATGTTAATGGTTCGTTTTTCTTGCCAGTGATTGATTATATACAACCCCAAGTAACGCACGGCATCCGACATTCCTTGTATTTAGAGGAAGTACTTTTTCACACTGGAGAGATGTCTTTGAAATTATCTTTTCACAAATCAATAGCAGTAGATGTTGGATAACAGAACCAATCTAAGCTGCCCACTGACTTTATTAAAAAAAAAGTTGAGAACGATTCCGGAGTCTTCATGAAATAGACAACCAGTCGGTATTCTTATTAACCTCGCGGTAGAGACAAGGTAGATTGAGTGTTTCTGTATTTTTAGAAGTGGGAATTAAATACAAGAGTTATGTGTTTTCAGTTGGAGGGGGTAATTTCTTGATCTGGAGCCAATTACCTTTACCTTCGCTGTGAGGGTACTTGACATAACCTCGGTCAAAAACAATTACGCGTATATTTTCGTATGTCAATCATTATTCTAGTAACAGTAGCATGTTATCATTGAGAAAAATTGCTCCGATGAATGCTTCATTTTGGGGACTGATTGAAAGGCAGAAAAGAAATTAACCGAAATTCTTTCTGATTTCTGAAGAGAACTCGATCATCGGCGGTCAATTAATCCAAAAACTTCGTCCTCGTAATCTCCTAAACACGAACTTCTTGACAAAATTATTAACTTCTAGCATGTCCTTTTTCTCTGTGCCACCATGCAATTCGTCAGGAAAATCGATTACACGAAAAACACCTCTTACGTATCTGGTGAATGTTTCGACTTCTACACTAAGGCAATGTCATTTTTTCCAGTTGCCAAATGCCGGCTTGGTTAAGTCATTTTTTAAAGTCTTCTCATAGTTTCTAAGTAAATTTGTTCCGTGACCATTTTATCTCCTTGTTGGTAGCTGTCAAGTGTTGAGATTGCCAACTGTTTTGCTCAGAGACTCGATTTCCTTATAAAACCCCATTTGGGAGGGCCTAATTTGTCTGGACCGCCATGACAAGATACTTCAAGCACTGGAAACCATGTACAACATGCACCGTCTGATCATCCCCTGGAACGCGCCATACATGCCGTGCACAGCTGCCTACTAAACTCCGTAACTGACTTCCTGGGCGCTATTTGGTAGTAATCAGATATTTTTAGCACATGTTAGTCTATCTGGGAATTTGTTGGTGTAGTTGGAAGTGATTTGCAGCTACACAAGTGTCCACGGGCAGGTCGGACACTGATACGGAACAGGGTTCTTGGGTTTGGTAATAGAGAGGTGTCATCTTGGCCGGGACTTACACGAGTGAAGGAATTGGGTTGGTGTGGTTAAGTGTGCATGTCAGGTACTTGTTCATCACTGTTCAGTAATGTAGTGTCAGTTAATGCGTAATTGGCAGTTTAACCATCGGTGTCAGTGTTCTGCGTTAGGTGTGTCTCAAGATGCTGCCAAATTTAAGCATGTTCATGGGTAAGTTCAGGAGTTAACGGGACGCCAAATATTGCATCCCACCAAATGTACGCAGATAATTTACACTGCAAATCATGCGGAAGTTAATTATACAACGGGTCCATAAAAGGTATAAAAGGGGCCCGTGAGAGACAAACCACGTATAAAAGGGGCCAAGGGGAGACATGTCACAAATAAAATGGGTCCAAGGGGAGTCAAGTATAAAATGGGCCCAAGGAAATGAATGAATGAGTATGGTTTTACGCCGCTTTTAGCAATATTCCAGCAATATCACGGCGGGGAACACCAGCTCAGAAATGGGCTTTACACTGGGCCCAAGGGGAGACAAGTCAGGTATAAAAGGGGCCAGGGGGAGGCGAGTCAGGTATAAAAGTGGCCCAGGGGGAGACAAGTCAGGTATAAAATGGTCACAAGGGGAGACAAGTCAGGAATAAAATGGGCAAAAGGGGAGCCCATCAGGAGTAAAATGAGCCAAAGGGAGACAAACCATGTAGAAAATGGGCCAAAGGAAGAAAGGCCAGGTATAAAAGGGGCCCAAGGGGAGACAAGCCAGGTATAAAAGGGGCCCAAGGGGAGACAAGCCAGGTATAAAAGGGGCCCAAGGAGAGACAAGCCAGGAATAAAAGGGGCCCAAGGGGAGACAAGCCAGGTATACAGGGGCCAAATCAGCACCCACTGACACGGATATTGCTGAGTGCGGCGTAAAACAACAAACAAAGAAACAGACATTACCTAGCACTCACGCGAAGGGATCAAATGAATGCGTTTTGCATTATCGCCCAAAACTTATTTGACACCATGGCGTGTCATTAATCCGCCATGTCCTTAGATACGGGATAACCTCTGTATTGTGGAAAGTTGATGAGGTCACGCTGGTCAAGACAACCCCTGGCATCTTTGCTACTCTTCGTTCAGTCGTGTTCAATAATTCATACAGGATTCATTTGTCTAAATGTGTTTTATACAACATGACATGTCTGATGGAGAACAAAGCAAATCTGAGACTCGACGTCATCGCCATGTATTTAGAGTTAAGATGTACCATCAGTTTGGCACCTAAAAGCCAAATGTTAAATAAGAAAATGCTCCACTTGTGGCATTCATCGTAATATAACATTTATCGTAATGATATTGGTTTGAGGTCGTTTTATCCTCGGGTAAGTGTCAAGTCAGTCATTAATTTTTTATAACAAAAAGTCAGTTGAGTTGCTAGGCTTGCGACTTGTTGAGTATTTGCATGGCCCTCAGACATGTGGGATTTTCTTAGTAATGGTAGTAGTTTGTTGTTTAACGCCGCAGTCAACAATAATTCCAGCTACATGTTGTATATGACGGCTGTCTGTATATAATCAAGTCTGGACCAGGCAATCCAGTGATTGACATCATGAGCATCGATCTTTGCAGTCGAGATACAATGACACACATCAACCAAATCAACGAGCCTGATCACCCAGACCTTTTCAAACCCGATCTTTACGGATCAGTAGTAGTAGTAGTAGTAGTAGTAGTAGTAGTATCATAATGGAGGTGGCTGCTGCGGGCGATACATCTGCACAGCCAGTTGGACACCTTCACCAGCAGGAGAGGCGTCCCTCAGAATGCACAGCCTGCCTGTAAAGAGGCAATAGATGTTAGGTTTGCCTCGTACTGTCGGGTACCCATACACAGATCAACATCAGC